ATTTGAATATATCATCTCCAGCAATATTTAATTTTCAAAACCTAGGCCTCCATATACTCTATATTCTAACTTAGATTGACCCTTGATGCATATTTATGAATACTTCTTTGATTACCATAAAGCGTTCGATACAGTAAAAACGACAAGCTGATTGATAACAAATATTGGAATAAACACCTGTACTCTAAAAATTATTAGCAATTTTTACTGAAATCAAACATTGTCTATTCGTACAGAGGCAGGAGAATCCGCTGATATCAAAATCAAACGTGGGGTCCGACAGTGATGTATACTATCACACTTACTGTTTAACATATACTCTGAGGAAATCTTTCAAAAAGCAGTAGATGTTGAAGCCAGAATTCGAATTAACGGAGAATGTATCAATAACCTCTCGGAGGAACCTGTAACCTCTAGAGAGCGCGTCCCCAGGTGGCGGATAGGGGAATGCCCGACCCGGTTTACCGGTGGATAGGAGGGAAATAAAATACCTCCCGTGGACCAACAGGTAATTCACCGAATGATTGCCGGTATAAGCAATCCCCCACTTATGACCAACGGCTGTGGGCGGATGAGTTAATAAGTGGAAGGGCACTCTTTTGTCCAAGGGTTGGGAAACTGGTCCTAAAGGCGGATGAATCAAAAAATATGTCAACGGCGTAAGGATGCAGAAGGCAACGGGAAACCACTGCATTAAAGACTCTTAGAGTACCCCTAGTAAAGTCATGAATGGCAAATGACAAGTAGAGTAAACAAACTTACTGATTATGGAGCACGGAATCCAAGATCTGGCAGGGGAGGAATAAGTGTAGATCACAGGGCCTCCCAGGTCGTAAACCAGAGAAATCCCTGTGGACTTAAGACATTGAAAATAGCAACCTGCAATGTCAGAAGTTTATATGCAAGTGGTAAATTAGCGAACGTACTGCTTGAAATGGAAAACCTCCAAATTGATGTTTTAGGTATAAGTGACGTACAGTGGCCAGGTTCGGGCAAACAAATTACAAATAATGGAACCATGTATTATTTAGGTAACAACGAGGTCAATCATCGCTATGATGTTGATATCTTAGTTGCAAAAAAGGTCAATTACTCTGTGGTAAGTTTTACTCCTTATTCTGATAGGATCTTTACAATTCAATACAATTACAGTCTAAAAAAGGTATAGTAAATTTTATTCAAGTTTATGCTCCTACGGCAGATAAAGATGACGACGATATCGAACTGTTTTACCATGATTTGGAACAAGTCTTAAAATCAATGAAGAAACATCACACTACAATAGTAATGGGCGACTTCAATGATAAAGTTGGCCAGGAAGTGGATGGATGTGGGGAATATGGTCTAGGAAATAGAAATGAACGTGGTGACCGTTTGATACAATTTTGCCAGACGGAAGAATTTGTAATAGCTAATACACTTTTTAAGCTACCAAAAAGAAGATTGTATACATGGAAATCTCCCGGTGATACAACGAATAGAATAATCCGAAATCAAATTGACTTTGTCCTTATTAGACAAAGATTTCGTAATTCTATACTGTCTGCCAAAACTTACCCTGGAGCAGACATCGGTTCAGACCATAACCCCATAGTAGTCACATTACGAACCAAATTAAAACTGGTTAAAAAACCCACACAAAGTAGAATTGATATTAAGAGATTAAGGGAACCACAAACAAAGGAACAAACTGTAAAAACTCTTACTAAAAATCTACGTAATGCTCAAGAACTGAATAAAAGTAGCTATAACATTGATCAGAAATGGGAAAATATAAAAGTAGCAATAATTAAAACAGCAAATGAAAACTTAAAACCAAAGAATAGAAAACATAAAGACTGAATGATTGAAGAAATACTACTATTAATGAATGAAAAAAATCATTCAAAACAAAAAATCCAATTAAATATAATGAAACTGATCGATTAATAAAAAAGAAATATAAAATGAGCTAAGGAGAGAATGTTACATGAGCAGTGCCAAGAACTAGAAGAAATTGAGAAAAAATATGACTTTTTTAACATGCATAAAAGAATTAGAGAATTAACAGGAATGAGAAAAACACTTCAAACTAGGCAACTAAGAGATGAAAGGGGTGCACTTATAACAGATATAAACCAAAAAATGCAAAGATGGACATAATATATAGCACAACTTTTTGAAGACAAAGAGAGAACAGAAGCACCAAAAGAATTTAAGGATGATGCAGTTTCTATCGAATTACAACTTACACACAAAATTGTGAATACTGAATCTATTGATCATCTTTTGGATCTATTGAATACCATATATAGAACAGGTATAATACCTAAAGAATGGCTCTAATCAACATTCATACTGCTTCCCAAAAAAGCCAATGTAAAGGACTACAATGAACAACGAACTACAAGAACAGAAGCACCAAAAAAATTTAAGGATGATACTGGGCCTGACATTATACGAGAAGAAATTGAATATGCAATGAAACAAGCTAAAGGTGGTAAATCTCCCGGGCCTGATGAAGTTCCTATCGAATTACTTAAAATTGTGAATACTGAATCTATTGATCTTCTTTTGGATCTATTCAATACCATATATAGAACAGGTATAATACCTAAAGAATGGCTCCAATCAACATTCATACTGCTTCCCAAAAAAGCCAATGTAAAGGAGTGCAATGAACATCGCACCATAGCCTTAATGAATCATGTCTTGAAATTGTTTTTAAAAGTAATTCACAATAGAATACATAAGAAATTAGATGAAGGCATAAGTAATACACAAATGGGATTTATGAAAGGTCTGGGAACACGAGATGCACTGTTTGCATTAAGTGTTCTTTCGCAGAGATGCTTAGATATTAATTAGGAAGTATATGCCTGTTTCATTGATTTTGAGAAGGCATTTGACAGAGTGCAACATAATCGACTTAAAGAAATTTTATTAAATAAAAACATAGACAGTAGAGACATTAGAATCATCTGTAACCTCTATTGGAATCAAAACAGCAAAAGTGAAAGTTGAAAACGAACTGACCAAGGATATCCAGATTCGCCGTGGGGTCCGCTAAGGGTGTATTTTATTACCCTTGTTATTCAATTTATACAGTAAAGCCATCTCAGAATTAGCGCTTGCCGAGATCAGTGAGGGCCTTATAATAAACGGTGAGCCACTTAATAACATAAGATATGCTGACGACACCGTCCTTCTGGCAGGAACACTAGAAGAACTGCAACACCTTGCTGAACAACTAAATATATATATTGCAACGATTATGGACTAAAAATCAATTTGAAGAAAACCAAGTTCATGGTATTTACAAAAGCACAAAACATCAAAGTTAAGCTAGTACTAGATAATACAGAAATTGAACAAATATCTTCGTACAAATACCTTGGAGCATGGATCACAGAAGATACTGATCAGACAAAAGAAATAAGATGCCGCATTGAAATTGCGCGGTCAACTTTTAATAGAATGAGAAAACTTTTTTGTAATCGGGATATCAATATATCGCTCCGGATAAGAATGCTTCGATGTTATATTTTCTCTACCCTTTTGTATGGAGTTGAAGCTTGGACACTTAAAAAATCCAACATTAAAAACCTAGAAGCAGTCGAAATGTGGTGTTACCCACGTATTTTGAAAATATCATGGATGGATCGCAAAACAAACGAACAAGTTCTCGAACTACTAGGAAAACAACGCAAAGTTTTAAATTCCATAAAAATCAGGAAATTGGAATACTTGAGGCACATAATGAGAGGTGAAAAGTACGAACTACTAAGGAATATAATGCAGGGTAAAATCAAAGGTAGAAGAAGCGTAGGAAGACGTAAAATCTCGTGGCTACGCAATCTCCGTGAATGGTTTATATGCAGTTCAATTGAACTATTCAGGCGAGTAACCAATAAAATTATAATTGCCAGAATGATTTCCAATCTTCGATGGGAGTGGAACTTGAAGAAGAATAAGTATCAATAACATCAGATACGCTAAAGACAAGTTGGTATTCGCTAAAAGTTATTAAGCCCTCTAGGAGTTAATGGATAGAATCACAGAAATGAGTCAGAAATATGGACTGTCACTGAACATTAAGAAAACAAAATATATAATGATGTCTAAGAAGGAACAGCCCATTGAAAGAATCAGTTTGAATGGTCAAACAATAGTAGGATAGAGAAAGCAAAATCTGCATTTCAAAAAATGGCTAAGCTATTCAAAGGCCATGATTTATCAGTACCCATAAAAATCAGGTTACTATGATGTTATACCTTTTCTATACTGTTGTATGGAGTTGAATCGTGAACTCTCACAGACGCTACCTGCAAAAAAATTGAAGCTTTCGAAATGTGGCTTTGTCGTCGAATACTGAAGATATCCTATACCGACCACGTTACTAACCAGAACGTTTTATTAGGAATGCAAAAAGGAAAAGAGTTGTGAACCACAATAAAAACAGCCAAAATTGAATACCTTGGTCACATCATGAGCAACAGCGAAAGATATGGGTTGCTGCAATAAATTCTACAAGGAAAAGTAAAAGGAAAACGAACACCAGCAAGGCGAAGGAATTCCTGGCTGAAAAATCTACTTACGTGGTTCAACACAACAACCACAAATCTTTTCAGAGTAGCAGTTTGGAAAATACAGATTGCCATGATGGTCGCCAACATCCGAAACAGATAGATACTACAAGAAGATAAGGTACCTATATAAAAATTATCGATTTCAGTAAAATTCAGCCTATTCGTAAGACTTTTGGTGGACAACTCTCTGACAACTGGACTAGAACGCTGTTTTAGTGATAAATTTTGTTTTTACTTTCCTACCTCAAACTTTAAGTAGCCATCCTCGTATTACAAGACTTTTACCTCTTGTAATACGATATAGTAAAATAATTTATATTATAATAAATCTAATTTTTATTACAAAAAATAGTTTGTTACATTTTGAAAGCACAAAACTTATAAAGCATCATATCAAGAAGGCAATATCTTAAAGCGGAAAAATACAATTAATTATGAAACTGCTAGTATATGCAACTTTTTTGACAGTAATTTGGAATTAGTTACAAGTAGGTCCCCAATATTTATCCCTCTTCTCAGCAGATCAGGTGGTACTTCAATATACACGCAGGTAGATGAGGTGTGAGGTCTTCGAGGTTTTTTAATTTGAGTTTTTGGAACAAACTCATTGGCAGTTTTTGGTCGCTCTTTCATCCTGCCTGTACTCTTATTAGGAAGGCTGATTACTGTTGGACTATATGACTGTTTTACTGTTGTATGGCTTTCAGTCGATTTACTTTTATGCATTTTTTGAGTTTCTTGTTTCCTTTTGGCTATTTCTTTTAACCATTGGCAGAACACTGCTTCATTTTGTTGCATTTTTCTCTGAGCATATTCTTCTAATAATCGTTTTCTAGTATCTTCTTTAATTTTAAGCAGTTCCTTTTGTTTCTGAATATTCTCCAGTTGCCTACAACTCAAACCGTATTCCGACCTATGACCATTGTAGTTTGGTAAATTTTTATGCTTAATCTCGTCACAACATTTCCTTTGTATAAGCTGTAGCGGTGGAAGGTTTGTGACTTTCTCGTGAATCTCCAACTTCTTAATATACATCGGCAAGTCAATATCCAATTTGTCAATACAATGGTCTTTACAATGCACTTCACCAATACTACGAACTCTTTTTGATCCACTCTTTTTTCTTTTGGAAGAACGTTTACTAGTGCTACTGCTATCTGTTCTAGTCTCTTCGCTTCTTTCTTTCTCTACTTTAATTTTGTGTTCTACATTTTTAACACCCATTTCAGAAACTATCTCGGTAAAATCCGTGTTAATACTCTCTATAATTTCTTCATCTTCTAAATCTTCTGCTACTTCTTCGATGTCTGAAATATTCACAGTTTTATACTCACAGATCAGTTGATTGTCATGTTCAATATCTTCGATGTGGTCGCTTTCTATACTATTAACATCTTCATCGGTTAAGTCAGGTTCAAATGAAAATAAGTCTTCTTTGAATTTAACCTTGGAAATTTTTCCACTACTTGGATATGGACTGGAAGAAAATAGATCGATATTGGCCTGTTGGACTTTTTCTGTTATGTTATAAGGAGAAGAAGACGGTTGCAGAACTAAAAAAGAAGGAGAATTAATCTGTTTATATTTACTTATAATTTTAATACAGTAAAAGCTCCTTATTCGGGTTTCATTCATTCGCGGTACCAGCGGCGGCCGGCCAGGTGTAGTAGGTGAAGGAGAGGTTCACCAAAAAAATATAATTAAATTGAGACAAATAAAAGCAAAATTATTATATCTAAATTCTGAAATCAATTATTTATTCTCTTTTAATTAATCTAAAAATTAAAAAAGACAACTAGCTTTATTAGCGGTAGGTACTTGACGGCCAAGTCCTGACCTGTGTCACTAGCCGTGTATGATGCAGGAATAGGTGAATATCATTTTTGAAATGCGAAATCCATCTGCATAAGCGTTCACGGTTGCCATGGCAACGTGACGTCAGCCTGCTGTTAGTGATAGCTGAGAAAACTGGCGAGTGAAGATCTATTAAAAAAAATTATCCGTCTTCACCCACTATTTGGATGTGTATGTAGTATTCTATGTATGTATGTCTGTAGTATTCAGAAAAGGGCTGGATACAAGGGAGGCTCTGTTTGCAATGAACGTTTTCTCACAGAGATGCTTAGACATGAACCAAGAAATTTACGCCTGCTTTATTGATTTCGAAAAGGCCTTTGACAAAGTACAACATGAACCACTAAGACAAGTTCTAATAAAGAAAAATATAGACACCCGAGATATTCGAATTATATGCAATCTATATTGGAATCAAACAGCAAATGTCAAGGTTGAGGGCAGACTAACAGAAGAAATTCAAATCCGTCGAGGAGTCCGGCAGGGATGTATCTTATCGCCACTTTTATTTAATCTGTATAGTGAAGCTATCTGTGAACAAGCATTCGAGGAAGAAGATCTTGGTCTGATAATAAATGGTGAGACGATCAACAATATAAGGTATGCTGACGATACAGTTCTCCAAACGGGAACGCTAGTAGAACTACAACATCTCGTTCAAAGTCTCAATATATACTGTAACAATTACGGCTTGAAAATTAATTTGAAAAAAACTAAATTTATGGTAATCACGAAATCAAAGAACATCAGAGCTAATCTTGTAATAGACAATACAACGATTGAGCGTGTGCCCTGTTATAAATATCTAGGTGCTTGGATCACAGACGATACTGATCAAACAAAAGAGATTAGATGTAGAATAGAAATCGCTAGATCAGTCTTTAATAGAATGCAATAGAACTCTTTTGCAATCGTGATATCAATATAAAGTTACGAATGCGAATGCTGCGGTGTTATGTCTTTTCTACCCTGTTATATGGAGTTGAGGCTTGGACACTAAAACAGTTGACCATAAAAAACATCGAAGCTTTCGAGATGTGGTGCTATAGGCGCATTCTCAGAATATCATGGATGGACCGCGTCACTAACACGCAAGTACTCCAAACTTTAGACAAAAGATGCGAAATTCTAAATGAGATAAAAACTAGAAAGATGGAATACTTGGGACACATTGTGAGGGATGAAAATTACGAACTTTTAAGAAACATCATGCAGGGCAAAATTAAGAGCAAAAGAAGTGTGGGAAGAAGAAAAATATCGTGGCTTCGTAATCTACGTGAATGGTTCGGGTGTAGTTCGATTGAACTTTTTAGGCGCGCTGCTAACAAAGTCGCAGTGGCCATGATGATTTCCAATCTCCGGAGTGGCACGAGAAGAAGTAGTATTCTACCTATTTTTCGGAAATTTCTCTCAGCGACAATATTTTGAAGTTTAGTCTATTATATAGATATTTTTGATATAGTATAGCGTATAGTATAGTATGTATTAATTTAGTTTAGTCACAGTATTAAGTTTATTTGTTTAGTGCAATTCGGATTTCGAATATAAAGTGTTCTCGTGGATTTCGTTTGGACAAAAATAATTTGAGACAGACATGAATCCGATTAATGAGTTGGTGTATAATATATTAGAGACTCCGTTTAGGCATTGGGAAAATGAAGATAAAAGGGATGTTCCTTTACATGGTCGACCAACCAGTATTTTAAACATAGGACTAAAAAAGGAAGTTAAAAAAAAAGGTAAGTCGTATAACAATAATTTTAAGTCTTCTAGGTTCACAGAATCCAATTGGTTGTGTAGTAGTACAGCGTTAGAAAAATTGTATTGTTGGCCATGTCTCCTCTTTTAAAATAAACAGTCTGTGTGGAATAGAGACGGTTTTGTTGATTTTTTAAATATTAATAGATCGTTGCATAAGCACTCAGATTCTGGAGAGCATTTAAAAAATCAATTAATGTATAGTAATTTCGAACAAAATCAAAATACGATTGCCGATGCCTTAAAAGAAAACGCTAGATTACATAAATTAAATTTTATTGAAAATGTTCCACTAAACAGGATTTGTTTGCAGACAGTTATTGACGCAGTTTTTTACCTCAGCAAACAAGAGTTGTCTTTTAGGGGACATGATGAGAAAAGTGACTCGAGTAACAGGAGTAATTTTAAGGAGTTATTAAATATGTTAATTGGCCCTTTGGTAACTAAAAATCATTACGAAAAAATCAAAAATGTTTTTAGTGGAGAATCAAAAACAATTCAAAATGAATTAATTGAGTGCATTTCTGGTTACATAAATGATAATATTATAACTGAAATTAAAAACAGTCCATTTTTTTTCCTCAAAATTGATGATACTATTGACATAACGTAGATATCGCAGTCTTCAATAATATTAAGATGCGTAAATTCTCAAGGACTATTAATTGAAATGTTTATGGAATTTTACGATGTAAGTGCCGGTAGAACAGCTGAGCATTTGTTCACTATGGCTGCGACAGTTTTAGAGCCTTTGGAATGCCGACATAAGCTTGTAGGACAGTGTTACGATGGAGCCAGTGTGATGTCAGGGCACTTAAATGGACTTCAACAAAAAATTAAGTCACATGCCCCACAAGCAATACTTGTGCATTGTCTAGCCCATCGACTTAATCTTGTTTTGCAACAGAGCTTTGAGGAAATATCAAAATGTCAAATGTTTTTGCAACTATTACCGGAATCCCATCGTTTTTTAATAGCTCAGCAAAACGATCATACGCTCTTGCATCTACATCGGCTAGACGTCTGCCAAGAATTACAGAGACAAGATGGTCGTCTAATTCAAAATTAATCACTGTAATTATTGAAGACTGGGAAAAATTAAAAGAGGTTTTTGATAATATAATGAATTCTAACGAAATTTACAAGGCAGGTCAAAGCCAAAAAAGCAGGCTTGGATGACAGATGATATACTGGATTTGATGGAACAACGGCGACTAGCAAAAACCAACGAAACACTTTACAATAGCATACAAAAAGAAATTCGACGTAAAATACGAGAAGCAAAAAGTCAACATCTAGCCAAACAGTGTCATGACATTGAAGAACTCGAAAAAAGATACGACACGTTTAACATGTATAAAAAAGTAAAAGAAGCGGCTGGTATCTTCAATAAGAAACAAAATGCATTGCTACATGATGAAAATGGTAAAGTAATATTCGAAGTAGAGGACAAACTTAAAGAATGGGAAAAATACGTCACGAACCTATTCGAAGACGATAGGAGTAGTTCACCTCCCGATATTACAAACTGCGACGGACCCCTAATAACACGCTGTGAGGTTATAAAGGCCATACAGTCATCAAAAGATGGCAGAGCGACTGGTCCTGAAGAAATTCCAACTGAAATATATAAGCTTTTAAAGGATAGCAATGTTTTAGAGGCTATAACTTCGTTTTTCAATACCATTTATACCAGCGGACAACTACCTAATGGTTGGTCTAACTCACTGTTTCTAGCTCTACCTAAGAAGACAACAGCAAAAACCTGTGCTGATTATAGAACCATCACTTTGTTAACCCACTTATTGAAAATTTTTCTGAAGGTAATACATGATCGTATCTACAATAAATGTGAGGAATACCTGTATGACACTCAGTTTGATTTCCGTAACGGATTTGGAACGAGAGAGGCACTGTTTGGAATGAACGTACTTGCTCAAAGATGTCGTGATATATATGTAGACATATACTGTTGTTTTATTGACTTTCAAAAGGCATTTGATCGTGTTAAGCACTCTATATTGATCGAAGCTCTAAAAGACATTGGCTTGGACGGCAGAGATGTTCGAATAATTGCAAATTTATATTGGAATCAAACAACATCAGTTTTAGTAGATGGTGTGGAATCACAAGCTCTCAATATTAAAAGAGAAGTACGGCAGGGATGCCTCTTGTCACCCCTGCTTTTTAACGTTTACTCCGAAAGAATTTTCAGAAAAGCACTTTCTGAAAAACAAGAAGGAATACTTGTGAACGGCGAAGTCATCAATAATTTGCGATATGCGGACCATACAGTACTGCAAGATCTGCAAACACTACTTGCAAACACTACTTGATAGTGTCGTTGAGAGTTGTAGGGAGGCAGGTCTGGATCTTAACATAAGGAAAACCAAAATACTCGTAATAAGTAAACAACAGAATATAAAACCGTCTATATATGTAAATAATACCAAACTTGAGCAAGTTGATAAAATCGTCTACCTTGGACAGCAATTAAATTGTAATGCAGAAAATCACGGCGAAATTAGATCCAGAATAGAGCAGGCTAGAGCTGCTTTTAGAAGGATGTCCAAGGTGTAACAGAGACCTAAAATTGGCATTAAGGATCCGCCTACTTCGCTGCTACGTGTTCTCGGTCTCACTTTATGCTGTCGAGTTCTGGACTGTGAATAAAATCGATCTAAATCGCATTGAGGCTTTCGAAATGTGGTGCTATAGAAGAATTTTTAAAGTTTCCTGGATGGAGAAGATTCGTAACTCCACATTACTAGAACGACTCAGCAAGACTACTGAGGTCATAAAAAGCATCAAGTAGAGAAAGCTGGAATATTTCGGACATGTAATGATTGATAGCAAATATAGATTGCTACAAAATATCATGCAAGGAATAATAGCAGGCAAACGCAGTCCAGGACGAAGAAGAACCTCATGGTTGAAGAACTTGCGAGATTGGTATGGTGTAGATACAAGCATGCCATTTAGGGTGGCAGTGAATAAAATTAAAATAGCTATGATGGTAACCAACGTTCTGAAAGCACATGGTACATGAAGAAGAAGAAGAATGAATTCTGAAGAGTCAGACCACAAATCAGTTCAGCTGGTTAAAGGGTTTTTATGAGATTTAAATGATTTTGAGTTCACATTTTTAGCAACAGTTTTTAGCGACATTTTGCATCCTAGATATAGGTGGTACCGAGAAAATGAAATACTCGGGGCGGACGAAAACCAGTAAACACTGCAGCATCTGACCCAGAGTGCAGCAAGGTTCAGAACTAAAAGACCCCAGGCAAGCAAAACGAATCGTATCTAGTATAAGTGCCCTAAAAAACTGTTTTCAAGTTGTTAGGGCTCTAAACCCTATACATTCTTTTTAACGAATTTTTAATGAGATTTGGGCGCGACGTAGGTACCAAAATTCCTTTTGGCTTCAGCAAGGTTTCCTCATCTTCACCACTTTTTTAGGTGACGAGCCGCCGATACCTTCAGGTCCCAATTAAACTTAGTGAAGCACATTCAGACTAATAAAATCTCAATTTTAGATTCTCTAGATACATGTCAGTATATTTAACAAAATAAATGCTATTGCCCATGTCACGTGGGAAATTTGTTGTAGTCATTGGAGTTAAATAAGAAAATACGCTAATATTGTAAAATATAACCTTTTTGTATTTATTTCCTATTACTATTACGTTTATTAACAGATATTTCGTATAAATTGTTACGCATTTTAAAAATGTTGAAAAATTTTTTATTTTTATTACTTTTTTACTTATTAAATTAACACATCATTTAAAAACTACTTATAAAAGTTTGATCAATAAATTATTACATCGTAGAAAATCATCACTCTAGCAACAAGCAATCAACAATACAAATTGAATTTATCACGCCATCCAATATTCAATATAATGTTTATGTAAACTAATAAAATAATTAGCTACTTACAAAAACAATCAACGTCATCTTCTTCTTGTGTATGATTGACATTAGCATCATTTTCTGACTCCATTCTGCTAGCTTTTTATTGTATGTTCAAAGGCGTTGGACAACATTTCAACTTATGTGTTAAAATGCTGTTGTTTACTTGCTAGTGTCTATAGCAACCAACAACTGATAATAGATTTCAGAGTGTCGCACTGCATATTAGTATAAGTGTACAAAGTGGTTATAAAGAACGATGGTTTGGGATCGATTCAATAGAACGTTTATAATAATTGGGTTATATAACTTCTGTATTTACATGTAACATAATATTTATGGTAAAAGCTTAAGAGTCCAGTATAGTCATACTCCCTAGGATTTCTAAATAAATAAATAGTATAGTTATTATTTATAACTTATTGCTAGGCTGTATTTTAAAAGTTTAAAAATTGATATGTTCATTAATAGGAAACATAACTTCATTCTAAATCATGAATAAAGAAAAAATACAAAACCAGAACACTAAACATAATACATAATAATTTTCACATAAAGAACTCTGGAACTTTTCTTATGTAAAAGTGGTTAGAGTTAAATTGGCTTAAACTCTACAAAGAGGAGCTTTAGTCATGCTGACCAAAAGTTTTTAAATCTCAGAAATCAATCTAGAGGATTTAAATGTGGCGATTGAACAGGCAATGTTTCGCATTTCCTCTATCCAACGTTTTGAATATATTGTATCTAAGTAATTACGTACATTAATGTAAAATTGAGCTGGTGCATCATCGTACATGAACGATAAGTGTTGTCTTAATCGTAGAGGATTTTCTTCAAAAGAAAGTAACTCTTTCAGTAGGAAACGAAGGAAAGATTCGCCTGTTAGTCGTTGTGGAAAGAAATATGATCGGATTAAGTGATTAGTATTACTCCAAGCCATACATTTAATTAAAACTCAATAGCAAACTAAAAGCTTAATAATGAGCATTAGATAAATGTTGACAATAGCCTAATAGACAACACAATGTATCAAAGGAATTAAAAATACATAAACTTTTCTGCTTATTTCTGTCTTGAACTTGTTGCATCTAATACGTGGTGATGCGCTTTATATCAGCCATTCATCTAATTGGTAGGCGTTCTCTGTTTCGATATGCCCCTTGATTAATTGCAATTCTAGAATCTTTCTAGTCTATTCATCTATTATCTGTCATTTGGGCACCATGTTCAGCTTAACTCCATTTGGCTACGAATATTTTTTTAACTGCATCCGTAACTTTTGTTCTTTTTATTTCTAGGTTTGATAGTCTATCTCTTATGGTAATATTCAACACTGATCGTTCCATCGCGTGTTGTGTATCACTTATTTTATTTATTGTTATTTTCGCCATAGTTACTGTTTCTGTGAAAACTTGTGAGAACAAGTAGTTAACGTTTGTTAAAAACCTTTCTTATCAAAAAGACTGGAATATTAAACTTTAAAATCTGCCAAATACAGCCCATGTGAGACCTATCCTTCTTTGTATTTCAGTTGTCTGATTATCTCGGACTAAGCGAATCTCGTGCACTAGATATTTGCAAGCTGTGACTTGGTCGACACTATGACCTGTAACGATAGTTATGCCAAACGCGTCATCAACAGTTCTCTGTGCGTCCGCACTTCTATCAACAATTGACCACTACCACCAACACGCGCTCGAAATTGAAGGCCATGGAGTATAAACTGCCGCAAAGAACGACTATCAGCAAAGTATTTTAATCTTATTCTTCCTCAGCTTTTCGATTTTTAGGGGTCGCTGTTCCTTTCTCTTCGTCGCCACTCATTTCTGTCCATCGGGTCTTCTTCACTTAAACCATTCTCTCTTAAGTCCTCTGCCACACAGTCCTTCCATCTTCTCCTCGCTTTTCATCTACCTCTTCTTCCATCATTTTCTAACAGCTCTATCTTCGTCCCATATAGTTTTCATCTCTACGTCTGACATTGAATCTTTTTTAAGACCACAGTCACCCCGGCTCTTTCCCTAATCAAGTCGTTTCTGATCCTGTCCCTTCTAGTCTTGTCCAACAGCCACCGTAACATTGTCATTTCAGCTATCTCCATTTTCTTTTCCTGGATATTCTTTACAGGTCACACTCTCCACCGTACACCAACCACACTCTTGTATATCTTTCCTTTTACCATTCATCACTTCATAGGTCTTATGCAAAATTGCAATTTGTTTTTCGATTCTATTTTTCTTCTTTTACTCGTTGCCGTTTGCTGTGGTTCTTGAACAATATCCTAAAAAAATGTTTTTCATTTTCCAACAAGTCAACAGAGTGGATTACAATTGCCAGAAATTTTCAACTCCTTGAATTTTTCTAACTGTTGCGGGGCATTAGATAGAAAACCCATAAAACTTGTTCCGCCACCTGAGTGCGGAGTGATTTCTTTAATTATAAAGGATTTCATAGCATTGTCATGTTAGCCATAGCTGATGCTACTTATGAATTTATTATGGTACATATAGGGACAAACGGCAGAGTGTCTGATGGTGGTGTTATGGAAAACATTACATTTAACAAAAAACTACAATCAAACCAGCTCAATTTGCCAACCGCACAACCATTACTTAAATGTAGCGATAAAACTCCTATTCCGTATGTCTTTGTGGCAGATGATGCTTTTCTTTTGTCGAAGAACATAATGAAACCTTTTTCTACAATCAATTTAAGTAAAGAAGAACGTATATTTAAGTATCGCCTGAGCCGTGCAAGGATAATAGATAATAGAAAATACATTTGGAATATTAGCTACAACATTTCGAATTTGTCATACATCAATAAATGCAATACCTGCCATACCTAATTGAAGACAGTTCTAAGGTATCATTTTAACAATTAGAAAGAAATCACAACAGACACTACGCAAGAGAGGCTAAAGAAGTACGGGAATATTGCAAACGTTACTTTAACAACGAAGGAAAAGCATTATGACAAGATAGAATGATTTAATGTCATAAATTAATAAGAAAATAATTACACAATTATCATACAATATTTTTTATTCTTGACCGATGTGTAAAATGGAAAATTTTATTAGTCTCCGCGATTATAGAATTGACCAACTTTAAAAAATGTATTTACCTGTTGAAACTTTTCTTTTCGACCTTACCTGACTAACAATGTCCTCATTATCCTTTGAAGGTTAGGTTTGTTCCTCGAACACGTCCATATTATACTTACCAGTTCTAGTCATTTCTTGATCTTCTGTGAAAAGTAATTATTTGAAATACCACAAATGTGGATCATAAAGTTCCTCAGTACTAGTACCAAATATTTTAGATTCTTTTACCTTCTTTGATTCTCGTCTGAATGCAGTTCGTAAAGAATTAATTTTTTTTACCATCATATTATATCTTTGTCGACTTCCGGTTCAATTTATATAAGCATTGTTTCTTAGGTGTGTATTGCTGTATTCTTTACTTTTAATTTTCCAGAGACACGGAAAGTATCTGTATAACTTAATGAATTCTAAGGAAAAGACAGTTAACATTTGATTTCACGTATAGTGCGTCTGGGTTTGAGTATTTAGTATGCACAAACAAATTGTTAAGCTACACGGATATTTAGGTATGCGCTGACACGTTTGCACATACAATATTTTCGAGATGTTACGTGTAAACGTCTCTCTCTCTCTCTTCAATCCTGACCCCCCAGGGGGAGTGTAGTGGTCGACGTGATGTCGTGTATTGTCCGTCTCCAGAGATCTCTGTCTCTGGTCATTTCTTTTAATTCATGCATAGGTCTTTGGCATATTCCTGTAATTTGATCTATCCATCTTGTTGGGGATCTTCCTCGTGATCTTCGGCTTTCTACCTTTCCTTGTATTATGAGTCTTTCCATGTTTTCTGTGTTTGCTCTCATAACATGCCCAAAATATTTTAATTGTTGGAGACGGACTTTACTAGAGAGTCGTTGGCTAACTTTTAGCTCTCTTAAAATTGAATTATTTGTTCTACGGTCGGTCCAAGGAATTCGTAACATTCGTCTCCAACAGAACATTTCAGTGGCGTCTATCTTTCTTCTCTCCGATTGTCTCAGAGTCCAAGATTCACATCCGTAGGTCAGTATTGGGAATATTAAGCAGTTGATCAACCTCATCTTTATCGCTCTTGAAATTTGACAGTCCTTCCATATTTTGGTCATTTTTGCTGTGGCAACTTTTGCTAGATTACATCTACGTTTAATCTCTTCTTGTAATGACCCTGTGTTTGTGATTAATGATCCCAGATATAAGTATGAGCTCACAACCTCGAACCGGTCAATTGTGGTTATGTGTGGATAATTGTTGTGTAGTCTATCCACTATCATGATCTTTGTCTTTGATATGTTTAATTGCAGACCAAATATTTGACTTTCGTTTTCGATCAGTCGTATAAGTTCTATCAGCTCTGCTTGACTATTTGCAAGAAGGGCTGTGTCATCTGCGAAACGTAGGTTGTTTAGTTTATGACCATTTATTGAGATGCCCTTTTCCCATCCTTCAAGTGCTCTTCGCATAATATACTCCCCATATATGTTGAATAATTGTGGAGATAGTATACATCCTTGTCTGACACCCCGTTCTGGATGAAACTCGTTCGACAGTGTATCAAGTACTTTAACTGATCCAGTAGTGTGTTCATATAGTTCAGTTATAAGCGTAATTAGATGTTGTGGTACGCCTACTTCTTTTAGTATTCGCCATAAGTGTCTCCACTTGACCCTGTCGAACGCTTTACGGTAATCTATAAAACAGATGTATAGTGGGATGTTGAATTCCCTAGATTTCTCGATTATCTTTCTTATATTCAGCAGGTGTTGTCGAGTGCCTCTACCTTTGGTAAATCCAGTTTGCTCTTGTGGAATTTCTCTTTGAAGGAATGTTTTCAGTCTCTCATTGATTATATGTAGCATTATCTTGCTGGCATGGGATATAAGAGAGATAGTTCTATAATTGTCGCATTTATGGAAGCTGCCTTTTTTATGTATGGTCGTTATTGTAGATTTTGTCCAGTCTTCAGGCCATTGTTTGGAATGCCATATTTGGTTACAGAGTAGATGAAGTAA